TACATACATATATCAAGGGGAACGGTTGCTGCCATATGGATCTAGGTAAAGTTACCAGAATTACCAAAGCACCAGTTCATAGATTCATATTACACAGACCTCATACTGCACAAATTTACACTTCTCTACGCTGTAGAAGTATTAAAAATTCTTAAAAACGTAACCGAAAGTTGCTTCGCCTTTCATTTTCATCACCTCCAAAAATCCAAGTGTTGAGTGTGAGAGTACCTCAAGAATGCATTTGGTAAAAAAATAGATTAATATTTCGACTACTTTTTTCAGAAAAAGTTATGGAACCCAGTCTATCCTTGCCAACATCTGGTAAGCTAAAGAACGTATACGGTATTTTTGAGCCCTGCTTGGGACAAAACTGAACCCCTAAGCTGGCAACAGCTCAAAAGCGCGCCTCTTAACCGTCCCCTAATTTTTTCAATTCGAATGAAGGATCTCCTCCCATTTATCCGCAGGCTACGATGGCTAAGTCTTCTCGCTAACCTTTAATCGAGTCCTCCAGAACAGAGACCTTGCCCGCTTTCCTGAGCAATAGAATCTCGCTGTGAGGTGAATTCGGGTCATTGCCGCCGTCGATAGCAATACCTATCATTCATTGACTTGATTGTAGCTTCAAAATCGTAGCTCAAATGCGAACTAACCTGCCGAATCATAGCCTCTGTATTCCATTCGTTGCAAACCTTTGATAAGCACATCGATGATTTCACTACGTGTTTTTGGGGTTAGAAAGTTAAGATAGGCGAAGATACCACACATGATTCACCTCTACAATTGGCCTTTTTTTGAAACTTATGAATGCTGATTGTCAAAAAATAAAATTTGTTAAGAGCAGGTACAGCAGAAGTCGTTTGCTAAGTTTCGACGCCACAAAGACTGATAGGCAATGAGCGGGAAAAATTACCGATTTTTTTCATGACCTTATTAGGCAGAGATCAATGCAGCATTCTCATTGAATGCAAGACTCCATACATTCTACAAAACGTTTGTTATGTGGTGTTTGCTGTTCAGCTTTTTACCTTCTTGTGACTGAAAACAACTCTCTCAAGGCTCGTGGCATTCCGTACAATTTACTTTCCAGCTTGAAGCATGCATGCCATCTTTGTCCCGGGCTCTGACCGTAGCATTTTGCGGTAAATCTTCAGCGATCAAACAATTTTTACTTCGTTGCTAACTATGTTTTCCTAGCAACAAAGTGTTCTGTTTGGAGACTGACACAATTCTCATATAACGCATGGCC